GGTGATTAGCTCTTGCAGTGTTAGTGCTTCTCAAATGTCACTTCCTTGTGTAGTGCCGGTCACTGTCCATTTTATAGGACTGTCACTACCAAGTCCTTTTTTGTGTGTGTGATCTTGGGGATCGAACCCAATTCCTCTGCACTGAGCTACATATCCAAACCCACACCTTTATTTTGAAACAGTGTCTCACTAAGTCCCTAAGTTGCCTAGGTTGGGCTTGGACTTGCAATCCTCCTGCCTCAGCTTCCCAGAGTGCTAGGATTATGAGTGTATGCCAGAACACCTGGCTGTCAATGACCTATTTAAAGACCCTATCTCCAAATATACATTGTGAGGTACTAGGGGCTGAGAATTTAACATATGTTTTGGGAGATCACACTTCACCCCACAATAGCCACTAAACACCAAACTCCCCAACTCTTGATCATTGTAACAAGCACTTGAGACAGGAAGGTGGCAGGATATGTGGTTGAGGGAGTCAGAACTAATTTTCCTCTCTCCTCCCCGCCCTTCCTCTCTTCTCCTTTTCCTATCTTTCTTTCCCATCTTTATTTTCTTTCTTCCTCCTCCTCTTCCTTCCCCCCTCATCCCCTCCCTCTCTCCCTAGCCGTGGGGAGACAGGAAGGTGGCAGGATATGTGGTTGAGGGAGTCAGAACTAATTTTCCTCTCTCCTCCCCACCCTTCCCCTCTTCTCCTTTTCCTATCTTTCTTTCCCACCTTTATTTTCTTTCTTCCTCCTCCTCTTCCTTCCCCCCTCATCCCCTTCCTCTCTCCCTTTCTTCCCTTCCCCTTCCTTTTATTTTCTTTTATTCCTAGACAGGAAGGTGGCAGGATATGTGGTTGAGGGAGTCAGAACTAATTTTCCTCTCTCCTCCCCACCCTTCCCCTCTTCTCCTTTTCCTATCTTTCTTTCCCACCTTTATTTTCTTTCTTCCTCCTCCTCTTCCTTCCCCCCTCATCCCCTTCCTCTCTCCCTTTCTTCCCTTCCCCTTCCTTTTATTTTCTTTTATTCCTTCTCTTCCTTTTACTTCTTTTCTTGTCATTCCCCCTCCCCCTTTTCGTTCCTCTCCTTTCCCTTTCCTTTCTTTTCCTCCCTCCCCTCCCCTTCTTTTCCCCTTTCCCTCCCTCCCT